CTCCACTGAGGGACAGGCAACAGGTGTGGATCACAACCATTCCTGGACACAACAGCCAAAGTCTTCCCCTTCCCATCCAGAGGAAGGTTCCTCCTCTACCCATGCACATCATCCTCACCTTCCTCCCCTCGCACCTTGCAGGGCTGGGGATGGTGCAGAGCAGCTGCCAGGGGTTAATGAGCAAAATATCCCGAGTGAACCTGGTTAACGAGTATCTCTCCTGCAGGTGAAGAGCTGAGATGAGAATTCCCTGCTCCAGTGGTGCTGGGATGTGCCAGCCCACCAAGGAGGGAGCTGGGAGCTGGGGGAGACACACCTCTCCTCAGCTGATCACAGTCCCAGCCAAGCTCATCTGCATTAATCTCACACTCATTAAAATCAGTTGTTCTGTTTCTAATTCAGCCAGCTCTGCCAAGATCAAGAATTAAAAATTTATGAGCCAGTGTCCCTGGAAAAAAAAAAAAAAAAAAAAGTAAGTTCATCATCCAGAGCAGCGCAGATTTTAAAAATAATAATAATAAAAAATAGCTGGCTGCTCCTTTGGGCTTGACACTTCCATGAGGGGTGGGGAAATGCACAAAAACAGAGAATGGGAGTCCAGAGGCTGGAGCTTCCTGGGGACAGTCCCCAAAATGGCCTCACTTATGGGGAAAACCCCAATTCTGAGCCCCAAAATGGCCTCACTTATGAGGAAAACCCCAATTCTGAGCCACAGGGGAGGGATGAGCTGGTTTGGCTCCTCCAGTCCTGCCTCAGGAGAAGTGTCACTGCTGAGGGGACAGCAGCCCTACACTCTCATGGGGACAGAGCAGCACCCTGGAGGAACATGTGAGTTAACAGCAGAAGTAAATAATGATTTTTAAAATTCTGCATGAGTGACAAACTCAACGTTATTTTTAATATGACCTAATTAAGGTCACCAATGACAATGGCTGGGGACAAAAATGATAAACACCATTGATTGTAAGCAGATGAGAATTTGGAAAAGGCTTTCCAAGAGCCAAAACTAAATAATATTTCAGAGAGAGCCAGCCCATAAAACCACCCACAATCTCCAGTGGCTTTTGCTGACCCAGGCTGGAATGATCCTGCTGAGCTGTCTGGGTCTCTCTCCACAAAAGTTGCTCTTTTCCCTCATTAAAAGGCACCATGTTTGCACAGCAAAGCTCTAGCAGGAAAACATGGAGCCAGGCCAATCCCAAACTAAGCCTGGGAGAAGTTTGGGATTAACTCCTTTAGAGCCAAGCAGAGGTGAAGGAGAATCAATAAAGATGGGCTGTCAGTGATGGGATTTATTTATAGCAGGCATTCATTGCCCTCAGGATCTGGATTAGCTTTCAAGGTGATGAATCAAGTATTAATTAACCTGCTGGGGGAACAAAAATAATAGGGATATTAATGTTTTAGAGGGAAGCTTCCAGCTGAGGGAAACAAAGGGAGAGAGCAAAGCTGAACTTTCCAAATAAAACCTTTCAGTGCTGGAAAGGAGCAATGGGCACAGAACAAACCAGGTGGATACTCTGGCTGGTAACTGGGAAAATATAAAACAAAAAGAAAAAAGCTTCCTTGGCATGTCACCAGAGCTTCAGGGTGGAGAAGGGCTTGGAATGAAAATTCAGTGGGCACTGGTGCCCGAGCCAAGCCCTGCCAGCACAGTGTCCCCAGGAGCCACTCACACCCTGCAGAGTGGGAAGTGGCATTTATCACCTCCAGACAAGGATGCAACCTCTACATATGTTTTTTTGCTCTAATTCCCCTCCACAGGTCCCTCCTGGAGCCTCCTACAGTGCAAGCAGTGAAAATCCAGAGCTGGAGAGCAGCAGAAGGGGCAGGACGTGCTCTGACACACAGGGATGGGAGCAACCCTTGGCCCTCGGGTCCCACTGTCCCACTCAGGGACAGAATTTCCCTTTTTTTGGAGTTCCTGCAAAGCAGCCCCATCCCAAGGAGACCAGCAGAGCTCAGCTCAGCACATGCACGAGCACCACAGAGAAAAGCAAAACATTTCAGGAGGATCAGACTGGTTTTGGAGCAAAAACGCCCAACTGAGGTGTGACACCAAAAGCTGGACAGCAAAAAGGAACCAATTTCCTGGTGGCAGCAGTACAAGAGCTGCAGGCCCACCACAGCATCCAGCTCCCTGGGATGACTTGGCTGCATCCCCTCCCCTCTCTGCAGCTTCCAAGGGATGTAAATCAGAAGTTTGGAAAGGTCATTCTGCAAACTGAGACACAGCACTCCTGCAGTCAAGGAGGGATGCAAAAAATCCTGTTATTCGTTGTCTTCAGGATCAGCTTCATCTGCCTGTGCTCCACCCCTACAAACCCAAATCTTTAACAACTTCAAGCTCTTTTTTATTTTTTTTTATATATATAAGGAGAAAAAAGCATATGCAGTCCTCCTTTTCCTGCCCATTTTTAGCTTTTTTTCCCCTCTGCATATTTCCAGTTCTCTACCCACACACAGCCACGCTGCAGACAAACTCTCCTAAAAAAAAAAATTAAGAGGTCTAAAAAAACAACAGTAATCCAGGAGGTCATCAACTTCCAGAAATGCAAACTGGCTTAGGAAACCACAAGCTCTTTCTGTTGTTGTTATTTTTTGCATGGGATTTTTTTACAACCTTGTTTTAAAGATTGGCAAGGGAGGAATTCTCTCTTTCCTCACCCTCCTCTGCTCCCCTGCTGTATGCAGACATTTCTCACCAGCCTTGCTCATCTCACATTTCAGGGCAGAGCAAATGTTTGTGCATGGAGGGGGGGCAGGGATGATGACTCAATTAGACACCTCATAAAAATCTGATTTAGAAAATTCCCTCCCCGGCTGCGAGAGCAGCCACCACAAACCAGCTCAGCCCAGCACCCCCCTGGCAGACAGAGCCTGCTTCCTGCACTGAAACCTCTCTCACCCTGCTCAAATGTCATGTACCATGAGGCATCTGCTGCTGGAAGTGAGAGACAGCCTCACAGCGCCACAAATCACTCTGCCAGGAGCATTTCTCTGCTGTCCCTGCTGCTCTTTTAGCTCCACGGCCTCGCTGTGCTCCTGCTCATCCCCGAGCCCCGCAGCCCTGTGTTCCAGCTGGTTAATTCAGCCCTGGAGCCAGCTGAGCCCTCTGCTCCTGCTCTGGCTGCCATCACTCCAGGCACAAGCTCCTGAGGGATGAGCCACTTGTCACCCTGATCCCCTTTTACACCCACGGCACCTTCCAGTTCCAGAAGCTGGAGGTGGATTGAGGGATGGCAGCTCCTCCTCCCTCCTGCAGATGGTCAGAGGCTTCCTTCAACCTGCTCGTCTGGGACCCCACCCAACCCACCCACCCGTGAAGTGGAGTTGGGCTGCAGAGCCTCCCTCAGTGCCAAACCTTCCTCGTGCAGAACCTTCTCCACAGAGCAAACCCTTCTGCACACTGAGCAAACCCTTCTCCACACTCAGCAAAACCATCTCCGCACAGAGCAAACCCTTCCCCACGCTGTGCAGAACCTTCTCCACACTGAGCAAAACCTTCTCCCCATAATGCAGAACCTTCTCCTCACTCAGCAAAACCTCCACAAAGAGCAAAACCTTCTCCACACTGAGTAAAACCTTCTCCACACTGAGAAAACCCTTCTCCACAGAGCAAAACCTTCTCCACACTAAGCAAAACCTTCTCCCCATAGTGAAAAACCTTCTCCACACAGAGCAAACCCTTCCCCACACTGTGCAGAACCTTCTCCATACTGAGCAAAACCTTCTCCCCATAATGCAGAATCTTCTCCCCTTAGTGCAGAACCTTCTCCTCACTCAGCAAAACCTCCACAAAGAGCAAAACCTTCTCCACACTGAACAAAACCTTCTCTCCTCATAAAAAACCTTCTCCACACTGAGCAAAACCTTCTCTCCTCGTGCAAAACCTTCTCCCACCGTGCAAAACTTTCTCTTCCATAGTGCAAAACCTTTCCTTAGGCAAAACCTTTTTCCACAGGGCAAAACCTTCTTTCTTCATGCAAAATCTTCTCCCCATAGTGCAAAAACTTTTCTCCATAGTGCAAAACCTTCTCAACACAGAGAAAACCTTCTCCCACAGTGCAAAACCTGCTCTCCTCATGCAGAACCTTCTCCACACAGAGCAAAACCTTCTCTTATAAAAAACCTTCACTTCCCACAGTGCAAAACCTTCTCCCACATTGCAAAACCTTCTCTACCCAGAGCAAAACCTTCTCTCCTCATGCAAAACCTTCTCCCACCGTGAAAAAATTTCTCTTCCATAGTGCAAAACCTTTCCTCAGGCAAAAAAATTTTCCACAGGGCAAAACCTTCTCCACTCAGAGCAAAACCTTCTCTCCCAGTGCAGCCATCCTGGCAGCATCATCTAAACGTGTCCATTCCCCGTGCATGAAGTGTAACCTGAGAAACTGCAGTATTTTAGGACAGGTTTTGGTTTGATGGGACTGGTCAGGCTCAGACAGGAAAATGAACAAGCAGTGCTGAGCTCTGGCTCAGTGTTGGAGCAGCATCATTTCAAGCAGAACACAGCACTGCAATAGTCATACCAGGAGACACCAATTCCATATTAAAAAGAGCTGAATTTTTAAATTGCCCTGTAGTTTCATAACCAACAACCCTACAGGATGCAGCCAAGCTGCACAAAGCAGCACAAAGACATTTCTGGGACTCTGTAAACTCCCTGTGAAGCCATGAGGCACAGCAGCCACAGCCACTGGGGCCAGTGGCCAGCTGGACTGGTCTGGCTGTGCTGATCACAGGCTGGAGAAACCAAAATCACAGAGCACTGCAAGGCCACAGGATCATGGCATGACCATTTCCATCAACAGCTTCACACCCCTCCCACAAGGAGCTGGTGGTTTTCTTTTGTCTTGGTTTGGAAAGACAGGTGTCTGCTAAGGAGGGCAGGAGCCTCCTCTGAAATGGGAAAAAATAATGTAGACTCCCTCTCTCTGAGTTGTCATAAATTTGAAATTAAGGGGGGGTTCTCAGGCAAAAATATGGGAGCATATATATAGTTCTATACATATGGGAGCAAATAACAGTTCTTTATTAGGGAAGAAAATAAAAAGATAAAATAAATAATGCAGTGAACCAAACCAACACTGACAGAGTCAGAATACAACCTGACACCCTGTTGGTCAGGGTGCTGGAGGCAATCCAACTGGGAATTATGGCTGTAGTCCTCCTGGAGTGGCAGGTGTGGTTCTGTTGGAGCAGTGATCCTAGAAAAAGGTGCAGTCTTCCTCTGAAGAGGCAGTGGAAGAGGCAGCTGTTCCTCTGGAAAATCCAGTGGAGAAAAAGCCGTGCTGGTGCCCCAAAAACCCAGATTATATCCAGGTAGGAATGCTTGGCTCCTCCCTCTGGGCTCCCATCTCGAAGTGGGATGTTACAGCTCTTATCAGTCACACAGTGACATTCAGTAGCCCATTATCAGCAGATCTCTGCCCTGAGAGAGGACTGGCTGTGGAGGAGAGAAGGAAAACTGCTCACTCAACAGAAGACAACTGCCGTAGAAATGGGAAATGGATCCATCCTGCCTTGCAGTCTGGGACACCTTTGTAGGACAGATGATTCTGCTGCAGCTCTCTTTCATTTCCTTCTGGGTGAACATCCCCTGTTTTGTGGCTGGGCAAAGTAAATAAAATCATTATTCAATCAAACTTGCCTGGATTTTTATTTTCCCTTTCTCCAGTGAGCCCTGGGGGCACTGGGAGGAGTCCAGGCAGGAGAAGGTCAGTGGGCTCCAGACCCCAGGCAGGATGATGGCCTTGGGGTCAGTGCCAAACCCACAAAGCAGAGCAGGGAGAGCACCAGCCAGGTGAGGATTTATCAGCCATCCCAGGCTAGTGCAGGTATTTTCCACTGGACAAGTCTCTCCATCTGTTCCCAGAACAGCCCAGCCTGTGAATCCTGGTCCTGATACAAACCCCGGGTTCCTGGCTGCTTGCTGGAGGTAGCACATCCCAGAGTAACCAAATGCAGGGCAAGCAAGGATATTGCCCTTGGATCTCTCCTTTCCAGACAGGAAAACAAGTCCATGGTGATGTAACAAGAGGGTGACCGTAATTTGCCATTGAGCTCTATAAAAATGTGAGGAGAGATGGCTGCATTTTAATTAAGTCCTGGGAGCAGAAAGAACTGTACCTGGCTAGACTGCAGAGAGATGAACTCATTACTTCATCCACATCTCAGGCTCCTGCCTGTTTTCCTCTGCAACAGAACCATCAGCTTGGGCTGCAGACAAGGGCTTTAAAAAGCAAATAATCCTTCCAAAAGAGCCAGGCCAGCACAGTTCCCACATGGCTGGACTGGGAACCCTCAAGCAGCCACGTTTCTAGGGAGACTGATGGGCAAACACTCCCAAACCCAAAAGGGCAGAGCTCCCCAAAAAAGGGCGTCAGGAGGGAGCTCACTCCAGATTTTTCCAGACAGCTCCAGCAGCTGCCAGACTTTTCCATGGATAGCCCAGGTCGGATTTTCTGCTGAGGCACATCCCGGGCCTGAGCTGCCCTTTTCATCTCAGGAATGCACAGCTGTGAAAGTGAGGCCGGGCTTCCTCCTGCAGGATGTGGCTCCAGGAGTGGGGATTTGTGCCCAAGCCATGGAGGCCACGCTGGGATCACATTCTGGGATCACATTCTGGGATCACATTTTGGGATCACATTTTGGAGTCACATTTTGGGATCATAATTTGGGGTCAAATTTTGGGGTCAAATTTTGGGGTCAAATTTTGGGGTCACATTTTTGGGATCACAACTTGGGGTCACATTCTGGGGTCACATTTTGAGATCATAATTTGGGTCAAATTTTGGGGTCAAATTTTGGGGTCACATTTTGGGATCACAATTTGGGATCACATTTTAGGGTCACATTTTGGGGTCACATTTTTGAGTCACATTTTGGGATCATAATTTGGGATCGCATTTTGGGATCATAATTTGGGATCGCATTTTGGGATCATAATTTGGGATCACATTTTGGGGTCACATTCTGGGGTCACATTTTGGGATCACATTTTGGAGTCACATTCTGGGGTCACATTTTGGGGTCACATTTTGGGATCACATTTTGGAGTCACATTCTGGGGTCACATTTTAGGATCACATTTTGGGGTCACATTTTGGGGTCACATTTTTGGGATCACAACTTGGGGTCACATTTTGGGGTCACATTTTGGGATCATAATTTGGGGTCAAATTTTGGGGTCACATTTTGGGATCATATTTTGAGGTCATATTTTGGGATCACATTTTGGGGTCACATTCTGGGGTCACATTTGGACTCAGGTTGCACAGGATGAGAGGGATGGGCAGGTGGGAGGTGCCCAGTTTCCTGTGGGGGGAAAAAAAACCAGCAAAACACATCTCCTGTTTGAACAGCGAAGTAAAACCAACCTAAAGCCTCATTCTAGAAAGTTTTCAGGACCTAAAAAAAGAAGGAACAGTCACCATCAGCCTCCTTTCCCCCAGAGGCAGCTGAGCAACCTTCCACAGTGGCAAACACTGTCAGATTCATTCAGACCCTCCGTGAACATCACTGTCCCTCTCACAGTCAGATTTGGTGACTCTGGGCTCAACAAAGACTCAGACATCTCTGTGCTGCCATTGCGCCTTGTATGATGAGGCTGAAGCAGGCAGATCTCATGCCCTGAGGTGCCAGCTGATAATCCCAGGTGCTGGGAGAAAATTCCATGCTCCTCTTGCTGGCATCACACAGCCAGATCCACCAAGAACCCTCCCCAGCCAAATGTGCCTAATCCCCAGTGAAACATATCGAAATCCTTAAAGTTAAGCATTTTCTCTGTGTTTTTTCCCTCAGTATTTTTATTTTTAACTTAATAAGTAATTACTTGAAGTCTGCAATGCAGACTTTTTTGTCTAATTACAAAATATTCCTTAAACTTATGAAGAAGAAGGAATAAGGTAAAGAATGATTAGTTTTTGTTTTAAAAGTTTTATTTTGTTTTATATACATTATTATATTTTAAAACTTTAAACTCTAAGTTTCCTACGTTGTGATATTATACACTTTTAATTACCTACACATTTTTAATTGTAGTATTATTAATCAATTTTGGAAGTTTTTTTATCGTTTTAGGTTTTTTGGGAGTTAGAGTCAGTCAGCACAGAAAGTTGTAAATTCTCAGCATTTAGAACTCTAACATTTTGTCAGAATTTTGTGGAGCAAGGCACAAAGGTGGCCCAGGATGGCCCAGCCTGGAGCAAAACACATTTCACAATCAGCTGACAAATCTGGGCAGTGGCACGGTCCTTGCAGGGTAAACAGGCCCTGGAAGCTGAGCACAGCTCTGGGAGCCTCAGGGGCTCAGCCCCACCCAGCCCTGCCAGGGCTCCCTGCCTTCCCCATCCTGCTGGGAAGAGTTCGGCTCCAGCCCCGTGGGCTGACCACAAACCCTGTCTGCAGGAAGAGATTTGTCCACAGAATTCACAGAATTCACAGAATTCACAGAATTCACAGAATTCACAGAATCACAGAATCACAGAATTCACAGAGTCACCAGGTTGGAAGAGACCTCCAAGATCATCGAGCCCAGCCCAGCCCCAGCACCCCAACCAAACCCTGGCACCCAGAGCCACATCCAGGCTTTGTTAAACACACCCAGGGCTGGTGACTCCACCACCTCCCCGGGCAGCCACTCCAGAACTTTATCTCCTTTTTGTAAAACACTTTTTACAAAATACTTTTTCCTAATATCCAACCCATCTTTCCCTTGTGCCGCTGTCGAGGCAGGACGGGAATGAGAAGACTGATCAGAAGCTGCTGAGAGTAAAATTCTGGTTTATTCAAAATACACCACTCCTTTATACAGAGCTTCGTGAGGACCACTTCCATTGGTCCTGAACTTAAAACAACTCAGTGCATTGGTGCAGAGTGCTTGATGCACAGTGATAGAACTTAACTATAAACAATGTGAAAAACAAGAGAGATAAAGAATTATTGACATTCTTCTCCAGCTCTTTCCCAGGCTTCTGCCTGGCTAGAAACCCTCTGTTTGTGTCTTTGACTGAATCTGAGACCCACACCCTTGGTGCAGCCTGAGGCTGTGTGCTCTGGTTCTGTCAGTTCCTGGAGAAAGAGCCCAGCCCAGCTGAGCACAGCCACCTTCCAGGAGCTGTACAGAGTGCCAAGGTCACCCCTGGGTCTCCTTTTCCTCACAGGGTTTGTGTTCCCAGCCCCTCTCCAGCCTTGTTGCCTCCTCTGCTCAAACCCTCATTCACACTGCAGCCACAGCACACAGATCAGGCTTTTTGTCAAACAAATCCCATTCCAAGTGGCTGGCAGCACAGGGAAATCTGCCGTGGTGCTGCTCTGAAGGGTTTCCAGTTCACTGCAGCACTTTATAGCTGCAGTTGTTTCCATGAGCGAGTCCAAGAGAGGCTGTGAACAGGAAGGAATTAGGCACTCATGCAAAGAGCATTAAAGTCAAGGGGAATCTTTCCATTGACTCGAGAGGGTTTGGCTCCCAGCCCTGGATATCAGGGGCTGTTGTGGGGGATTTGGAGCAGGAAATGGGAGCAGGACTTTCCAGGTTTTCTCAGCATTTGTTATGGATTTTACACAGGAGGTCTCTGTGCTCATTTTCCTGCATGTAAATTAACAAGTGACTGTTCCTCCAAGGTGCACTGAGCATCCTGGGCACGTCCTCTGCCGTTCCTGGGATGGCAGAGCTAATACTGGATGGATGGCAGGAGCACATTCCTATGGAATTAAGATTTTTTTATGGGTCAGCTGCAGATGCATAACCCACATATGGTGTGTCAGTCCGAGTGGCAAAAATACCATGAACCCAAAGCTTCAGCAGATCTGAAAATCTTTTTAAACCCAACCTCAAATTCCCACTGGGGGTGAAGCCCCCACTGGCTTCATCCAGAGTCACTGATTCCAACCCTCCCTGCTCAGCCAAAGCTCTGCACAGGAGGATTCTGTCTTTTCATGGAGGCCAGGAACCTGCACCAAAGGACAGAAGAGCTGAGCTGCCTCCACTGATATAGCCATGATGCCTCAGGTTTTGGCTTTTCTATTTTTCAGATCCTGTGCTGCTTTAGTGTGTGGGTCTGGGCTCCACATGAGGAGATGCTGAGCTCTGTGCACCTTTCCCCCATCTCTGAACTCATCCCCTCCAAGCTCCCAACCCTGGAAAAGGATCCACAGCTCCAGGTAAGAGAATCAAAGAGTCATGGAAGGGTTTGGGTTGGAAAATTCCTCAAAGATCACCTTAAACATCACCCCTGCCTGGCAAGGACACCTTCCAGGCTGCTCCAAGCCCTTCTAACCTGGCCTTGGGCACTTCCAGGGGCACTTCAGAGCTCTGAGAATTCAATCCCAGCCCCTCACCACCATCACAGGGAGAATTTATTCCTAATATCCCATCTAAATGTGATCTCTTTTAATTTGGGCCCATTCCCCCTTGTCCTGTCCCTACAATTCCTGAAGAAGAGTTCCTGCAGTCTCCTCTCCAAAAAATCCACCCCAATTTCAGATTTAAAAGACAGGCAAAGTGGTGAAGCAGGGAAGGTTCCTTCCCACATAAAGCAGCCAAAAAATAATCGGAGTGCAAAGGGAGCACTGTGGATTACACAAAACTGATCCCATCTAGTACAAACACGGCTGAACAGCTCCTTAAAAACACTCTATGGATGGTTCCTGAAAGTAATTGCCAGCAAATTTTATTTGTGGGAAAGCACAGCAGAGCTGAGCTATATTTAATAGTGGAAAGAAGATAAAGGTAATCTCCAAAGGTCTGAAAATGCAGACTCTGTGCTTGGATAAACTTGGGTACATCCTCATGCAGTAAATGCCAGCACAGCTCAGGGATGTTTTCCTCAGTGTGGGCAGCAATTCAGGGAATATTTGGTTTTCAGATCAGAAGCAGCCATTAAAGCATCTTTCCTGAGCCTCCCTTCACCACAAGGTGAAAGATTTCACCCAACAGCTGGAGAGGGCTGGAGGTTGGATAATTCAGAGCTTTGCAGTGAGTGATGCTCCCAGGGCAGGCCTGGCTGAGCTGCAGCCGTCCCCCTGCCAGGGCCCTTTCCCACAAGGGCTGCTCTTTAATTCTTTAACAGACCAGCTCTGCTCCCATTTCCCTTCTCAGAGACTTCTCAGACAGCTCTGGGAACATGAGCTGAGGGAGAGCAGCGTGAGGAGAAGGCACTGAGCAAACACTGGGGACCCTCAGTGCCACCAAACATCGCCCACTGGGACCACGGGCCCTGGCAGCTCCAGCAGCCACAGGGAGCCCCCCAAACCTCCCACCCCCTCAAATCCCCTGCCAGGAGCACTTCCAGAACCCTCCTCGGAGAATCTGCTCCTTCTTTCCATTCCATTTGCCTCTGGGGTTTTTCCTAAAGCACAGCTTTTTCTCCCCAAGCAGTTTTTCCTACAAAGCTCTGCAAAGAACCACAGCTGGCATCTCTCGTGGAGGCAGCATCCACTTAAAAAGCTCTGGGTGGCCCCAAAGTCACCCCAAACACTCCAAGTGCCACGGTGTTAGCGCTGAAATCATTGCACACGTCGATTTTTATGTAAATCGGTGCTCACTGTTTACTTCTGGCAAGATTAAAATGCTCAGCATCAGCTCCGGGTTTTCAGGGCTGTGAATTCAATTTGCAGAGGGCACCTGAGAGAGAGGGGGATGTTGTTTGGTTTTTTCCCTGGGAATTATTATTGTTTATTTAGAATATCTGAGAGGCTGGGAAGCCATCATTCTGGATCATAGCTTATGAAAAGACAAAGGTTATTTTAAAAAAATTGTATTTGGAGTCAAACTCACCTTATTCCTTTCAAGAAGCTGCTGCTTTTCTTCTTAAACCGTTAACTTTGACCCTTTCTGGGTTTAAAATCTGCCTGTTTGTGTCCCCAGCTCCTGGCCCGAGTCCCCCTGCCAGTGCTGGTAGCACAGAGCTACAAGTCTGTCAACTCCAGAAAATGTGCTTTTAATGTTCCCACTGGGGCACATTAAAAATGGGCTTTAAAGTATGAATTTAATGACTTGGGATAAAATTGAGTTTGTGGGCAATATCTGACTCAAAAAGTGTGTAAATATTTCATTTATTCATTCAGCGACAAATTAGAGATGGAAGGGAAGGGAAGGGAAGGGAAGGGAAGGGAAGGGAAGGGAAGGGAAGGGAAGGGAAGGGGCACTGAGTGCCATGTCCAGGCCTTCCCTGGGCACCCCCAGAGACTGGACTCCACCTCCTCCCTGGGCAGCCCCTTCCAATGCCTGACCACCCATTCCACAGAGAAATTCCTCCTGATGTTCAAGCTGAATCTCCTCTGGTGCAGCTCAAGGCCATTCCCTCTCGTCCTGCCCTTCCAGCATCCCCTCCTGCTCTGTAACCTTTCTGTCACTGTCAGCACCAGAAGCTGCTGGTGGGAAATCCCACCATGAGCAGAAGGGAAGGAATTCCCAGCCTCCCACTCTGGCCATGTCCAGCCCTTCCTCTCCACCGTCACCCACATCCCAGCAGGTTCCTGAACAACAACAGGGCTGTGGCCAAGCCCAGAGCTATTTTTGCACTGTTGATGCCCCTCGGAGCCTGTGCCAGCTCCCACAGGAGCATCCAGAATATAATGGGACAAGCTCAGGCCAGGCAAAGAAAGAGCTCAGTTGTCACCTTGTTTTCAAGGACATTCTGCAGCTTTCCCCTACTTAACTGTGTCTCCAGCTAAAGCCAAACAGTTGCCACATGAGCAAAAAATTCCAGCCCTCAGGAGATGTGGATCCTCAGGGATCCAGCAGAATGACAGCAACCTCAGCTGTAATTATTGCCCTGCAATCTGCATGTCATGAATAAATTGAGAATTCAGCAATAGCTGCAATCACCACTCACAGTTTGATGGGGAAGATGGGCAGCAATTGAGTGCTGGGTAAATATTCATTTTTGATCTTTCCCTGGCAACAGAGAACATTGTCCTGTGGAGGCTCCACACAACAAAAAGAGGGATGGAGGGCAGGGCCTGCCCTCTGCACCCCCCAAAACTTCTGCACCCATCAGCTGGGCTGGGGAGAAAGGTGGGCAAATTAGAAAATGAGAAAAAACTTTAACCACAACTAAAACTGAGGCTTTTCTCCTCCTGTTCTTTGAGCCATTTGGTTCACAGATGTTTTTAAGAGCTCTCAGAGTGTGGCAGTCAGAGCCAACAGGACACCCATGCCATGGCCAAGGGGAAAACTTGCTGTTCTGAGCTCAATTTTGGGTGCATGGCCTGAATGTTCATCTTTTGTGCACTGAAATCACCAAAAATGGTGATTTGGAAACATCCAACGCACACAGCACAGTGCCAGGCTGGAGAGAACAAACACCCCTGGTACCCCCAGATCTGACGGAGAAGGTGATCACTTCCAGCTATCCAACAGATTTCTGCTCATCAGCTGCTTCCCTCTGTAATTTGTTTTTGATTCTGGAAGTTCTTGAGCCAGCTGGTGCCTTCCCTGAGCTTGATGCCTTGAGAAGGCTGAGCTGGAGCAGAGGCTGGACAGAGCTACAGAACAAAGCAGGGATTTATCCAAAGGATCTCCTCCATGGATCCACCTTGGGCAGCACCAGAGCCCAGCCAGGGCTGCACCCAAATGACCCAAAATGGTCCCAAAATGCACGAGCGCTCCCGGGGCTCTCCCTGGGATCAGTTCTGCTCCATTGGCACCTTGGAGTTCATTGTCCCATTCCAGCTCCAGCCCAGGCAGTCCCACCCTGCTTGTTTTTCTCTCTCCAGCCCACGCTGTTTGTGCTCCTGGGCTGAGGTTTGGATCATTTGTCCTTGGTGCCCAGCTGGAGCAGGAATTGTTTTGTGTCCCTGCTCTGTGCAGAGAGCTCAGCATCCCCTCATGTGGAGCCCAGACATCTGAGAGGCTGGGAACTCATCATTCTGCATCACAGCTTATGAAAAGACAAAGGTTTTTTTAAAAAAATTATATTTGGAGTCAAACTCACCTTATTCCTTTCAAGAAGCTGCCGCTTTTCTTCTTAAACCTTTAAAGAACACTAAAGCAGCACAGAATCTGAAAAATATAAAAATATAAAAACTAAACCTGAGGCATCAAGCTGAGGCAGCTGCAAATCCCATGAGGGAGGTGCAGACCAGCCTCTGAACCCCCAAAGAGACAATTTCCATGCCAGAGCCAGGATCCCACTTTGCTGAGCAGATTTGGGGCACAGGAGGAGCGAGGGGAGGTGAGCCCAGCACCCCTGCCAGGGGCAGCTCCCTCACCCCTGTGAGCCCCACCTGTCCCTCTGCCACCCCTCTGGGACCTCCAGAGATGGCTCAGGGTGACCCAGGGGAACACCTGGAGCAGCAGAAAGCCAGGAGACAATTCCAGCAGCTTGCAGGGGCAGCTGGGCCTTCTCCCACTGCCAATTAAAGAGTTTCCCTGACAGAGTCTTATATAAATATTAGACATCCCCACACGCCAACAGCTCCACCAGGCAGGACACAAATGACAAGGGCTCCTCAGCTCTGTGCTTCCCACCATCACAGGAGCCCAGCTACCACGGGCAGCATGAAAAATCCTTCTCTGTGGTTACTGCACACAGCAAATGAGCAAAGGCACCTCGTGGCATTTGCCTCTGGATGAGCAGCAAGGGCAGGGGGATGAAAAACACAAGGACAAGCACAGCCCCCCAAGAGCCCTTGTAGCTCACTGCAGAAATGGGATGCTCTGGAAATGGCTCGAGCTCCAGCAGAATCCATGTGTGAACAGGAGCTGAGTGGAATAATTCACTGTGCACTGACTTTCACCACAGGCCCCGGGATTCAAATCCATGTTCTTTCCAAATGACTGTAATTTCCAGCCCATCTCCTGTGATGAGGAACACAGCCAGCCTGAAATTCCCCCACGGTGCTTGAATAAATACATTAACCTGAGATATAATTTACTAAGACTTAAATGTGAGCTCAGGAAGATCTATTTCTGCTGCAGGAACTTGTGCTAAAATTGGCACCAGCTCTCTCCAAGGCTTTCTCCATCCAGCACGTTGGGCTTGGGGGGAGAAGTCTACCTGTGTCCTTCTCCATGGACTGCAGAGACTTGAAAATGTGGAGAGAAGCAAGGTCAGAGATGTTTCCCACTCCTGGAGGTGCCAGGAGAGGAGAACAGGGATTAAAGACCAGGACCTGCAGCCCAGGTTCACCCTCATTGGTGGCAAAGGGTCAATAAGGAAGTCAAAGAAGGACAGAGCTGAAAACCAGCTGAATTTTCTGCTGGTAAGAGAGCTCTCCTTCTGAGTCCCATTAAAACTATCCTGACTATTTTCTTGCTTCAAAATATATCTCCAGCAGGACAGGGAGTTCCCTGGTGTGAAATGAGATGAACCAAGCAGAACTGAGCCCTACAGCATCACTGGAGAGCAGCTTCAGCCCAAGATCCTTGCTCTGCCACAGGAATTCATGTTTAAAATTCTGGGGGGAATTTTACACAGAGATATTTGAACCTATACGAGGTCCCAGCACCACAATTCCATTTAAATTTGATCTGGACATAGGATTGTGCTGAAAACAGATAGAGAACACTCCCACCTCAACAGGAATTCTGTTACTGCAGGGGATTCACAGGTTCTCCTTGGTCTATGTTCTAAATCCTCAGCATTGGTGCTGCTTTCCAATAAAGTGAGCAAACAGGCAGCAAAGTTGGTGAGCAGTTAAGGTCTAAATGGTTTGGTGGTGAGAAAGGCAGAGGAGGTGGCAGTGATGAGTCTGGGCGTGATCACCCCCATCCTGCAGCCACATCCAGCCTGGCACCCTCAGCACTGGAGCTGCTCTCTTGGGGTCCTTCCCAGCTTCTCCTTTTTTCTTTTTCTTTTTTTTTTTTTTT